ACTTTCAATCAAAACTTAACCCTGGTTAGGGTAAGTTGCAACATGGAGGCAAAAAAATCTAGCTGTACAGTTTTAGTGGAAGAATTAATTCCGAAAGAAATGAGAACCTTTCATTTTAGCAGTTTCATAGATCAATTTAGATGATATTTAAAAATGTTGCATGTTACCTGAACAGGACTTGGTATTGCCAAGTAGTTCCTATTGCTGAGAGATGCCATGAAAAGGTCATAGATGAATCTGGCCTATTTAAATCTGAAGTCCTAAATGTGGCTTCTCCAAATACAGGATTATCTCCTTATTAAATGTAAGACCCTTCTTTTTGTTCTCCTTATACTCTGCTTTGCTGTGCAGATATATATGATATATTATTCTCCATATGGGACATGTATATATGTATAGATATAGTTTTGTGGCTGTCTTAGTAGTATAAAAGTCTCTCTGAGAACAAAGCATATTTGTCATTCCTTTTTCTTTCAGACATTCTGTTCCATCCATGAACTACAGTGTTATATCACAGATATAATAATTTGGGGTGGGGGCTAAATACAAATTAGAGAATAAATCTTTCTTCCATAACTCCTTCCTGTTATAGTTTCATCTGAGCTACAAAGGGCAGGAAACTCTTGAAGACCATGATCTCCCACATTCTGAAGGGACACAGGAAATAAAATAAATCAATTAACTCTGACCCTTCCCTTAATGTGCAATGAGATGTTTGGGGAAGGCAGCTCTCTGGAGATGAGCATCTTTTACCGTGAATCAAAACCTAACCAAATATGTAGGGTGCAATGGGTAAATTCTCGCCATTTTATATTTTTAATTTTGTGCATGAATGTTGTCTGTTTTTGTTGACTGCACAGTGTAGTATGGTCATTTGAGATTCATAAATCATGTGGAAGCAGTGGTTGAAGCCAATGTTGATTTTATTGAATAAATTTACTCTTTAGTCTTTCAAGATGTTTTTGTGTAATTTTGGTAAATATGTCTGTTGAAATGATGTCAGTGTTTTCATTTTAGCATAATTTAGATGACAATTTATCCATCGCATCCTGCATATATATAATTCACATACCACACACACTTTCAGTATCTATTTGTGTGTGTGTATATGGTGTTAAAGTTCTCACCATTTTTGCTTTTTAAACTTTAGTTATCAAAATCAGGATGTTGGAAAGTTTTGCCCATCAACTATCTATCCAGTACTAAAACTCTAATCTTTTATTTATGTGTATGTGTATATGTGTTCGCAAGATACACCTTAAACGATACATAATACCCCAACCAATTTAGGAGCATATTGTACCTTGAACTCCTGTTGGGTGCAGTGCCAGATTTCATTAAGATTAGACAAGGGGTTCTTGTGTTAAGGCTGTTTTTATGTTTTTACAGCATTTTTTATAAATAGCAAATTCAATATTTGTTTTTGATACATATTCTTATATCAATTCATGTATATAAACAAACCTTCATATTATGTTTGTGAAAAATAATACATTATAACAACAAATTTAAATATATATATATATATATATATATAACACAACATATTTATACAATACATAGAACCTCTTTTTATAAACAACTACTTGAAAGGTGAAGAGGCTATATGTGTTACATGACTTGATTGTAAATAAACAGATGCACGCTGATTTGCTGCTATTATATATCATGTATAATAAAAAATATAGTTATTATTTTGAAAAAGACTACAACTGTTTTAAGCTATTACTCCAAATTTTCATGCATTGTGTTAACTATGAAACCCAGTGGAATAATAAACCTTTTACCGTCATTAAATAAAAATTAAAATGTGTAATTAATAATAGAATTGATAGCCTCATCATTTTCTTACAGGAACTGCTTTTAAAAGAAACCCAGCAGGTTTATGAGTGGTCTAGTAAATTTATATACAGAGAAAGAGGGTGTCATCTATTCTCTTTGACAACTGAGCATAAATTGTGTACTTGAAATATGTATGAAATGATCAGAAAAAAATAATCTAAAAGAGCCATAAAAAAGTTGTATTCTGTATTAAGCAACTGTAAAATTTTATTATAGTATTGTCTGAAAAACTACTAAATGAGAAAGTAATTTTCAAAAAATAAAAATGTCAGCCACCATGTCAACCAAAACTTTTTTAAAAAAAAAAGCAATTGATTTACTGAAAGAATCAAAAAGAAATACAAGTAAACCAGTGAACCAAGAAAAAAAAAATTACCTCCTCCACCTCAAACTTTCTTTCTGATATTTGTGGAATACATTCTAAGTTTTTTAGTCTAGAATCTTTGTTTCTTGAACCATTCTCCAGATATATTTTCACATTGCAAATCTAATTTATATTCTGTCTTTACCAATGAATTTTCTGCTTCTGGCTATCTTCATCTTTGTTGAAAAGATTCTAGGATACATATGTATGGCCTTGGTATTGAAATCCAAGAAAATTCTACATTTGTACGGAAATTGTCACTCTAGTCCCCAGACGATTCTTTCATGCGCTTTCAACTTTTGTTATTGCACTGTTAGCTATCTCTTTTCTTTATCACCCCTTCTCAAGTGACAAAAAAAGAAATGGTTCTCTACCTTCATCTGTGGATATTTTTCTGCTTGTTGGTTTTAATGTTAATTACATCAGTGGCTTAATTATTCTAATGTTATGGATATAGCTAGTATTCAGATTTTCAATTTCTCTGTTGCTAAGTATCTTAGTCAAATAGCATATTCCCCTACTCATTTCCCTAATAATCTGATCAACATTCTTCTGTTCTCCTGGCAATTCTGATCACACAGTAATATCTGTAGATATTTCTTTTCAGTTGTTTGTTAGAAAAGGAAACCTCACAAGACTTCCTTTACCAATTGGGATTCATTTTGTGATTTTTTTGAAGACGCCTCTTGGATTGATATTCTTAACCTTCCTATTGAGAATTGTGCCACAGAGATTTCTTCTTGTGTTAAAGCTGATATTAATGCTTTGGTCCTTCTCAGAAATAACAGGTGAAACCACAATCTTTTTGGTTCACAACGGCCTGTTCAGCCGCAAGAGCCGACAGTTCCGATCACACCAGATAACTATTTGTGTTCACTCATAATAAATGTAAACATGTCTTCAAAGCAGACAAGTCTTTGTTTGCTGATAGAATGAAGTACTTTATAGCCTCTAACAAGTTTGGTTCATGTGACTAATGGTGGCTTTGTAATAATGTCTTAAATAACAGTAAGTCCTTCATCCCTCCTCTCAAAATTTGAGGAGTTAACATCTTCTGCTGATAAAGCAATGTCTTGCTCATAATTTCTCTTCAAATTCTATTCTTAAACTCATCTGGAGTATCTTTGTCTGACTTACCACTTAGAACAGAGTCTTGAGTATTATGTATATAACGATATCCATGGCTTCTATCATCTCCAAACAATCCCCTCAAAACATGTGGACTCGATGCTATCCCTGCAATAGTCCTTAAGAAATGTACTCCTGAACTGACTCCAGTTCTCTGTAAACTCTACAATAAATGCCTTGCTGCTTGTTAGAAATCCTCTTCTGTAGTTCCAGTCTTTAAGAACTCTGGCAAACCATTTGTTCCTTCTATCAGCCTACTAGCAAACTACTTCTTTTTGGCAAAGTACAAATCACTTTGAATTGGTCAAGCATTTCACTTTGCAATATGGCTTTCACTTCTCTAGGTCAAATGCTGATGTATTAACAATCTTTGCTGAAAGAGTCTATCAAGCTTTCGATAAGAAATGTGAAGCTCAGGCTGTTGCTTTGGACATCTCAAAAGCATTTGACAGAGTTTGGCATACTCCAGGAATCACTATGTTCACTTGTCAGGGTGTATAAGCAATTGACCTCACCGGGTCTTCTTTCATATGAGCAATATGGCTTTTGCTTTTCTAGATCAATTGCCAATATATTAACGATTATTGCTGAAAGCTTTAGATCAGAATGGTGAGGCTATTTCTGGACAAATTTTTTAACCGATTCAGTTTTTTTTATATTAAATCGCAAAATAAAAGTGTTTTTGAATGGCCACTCTTCTCTTTGTTCCTAATTTTCATCAATGACATTCCTGATGGCATCAATTCTCAACTCAGTATCTATGCTGATGATACAACTATTTACTCGTCTTAACAGTAATCAATCCAATAAGGTCAGATTGGCAGTTGATCTAAAAAAAATGATCAACATGCTTTCAGTAGGGGCAAGAAATGGTTTATTAATTTTAATGCCTCAAAAATGAAACTGCTCTCTATTAATCACATGAAAGAACCCCTCTCTGCCTTCTGTCAGCATGGCTGATGCTAACCTCCAGTAGAGTGACCCATTGCACTTTTTTCAAATAACGTTTTCTGGCAACATGAAATGGAAAGATTATATGGAATCAGTTGTTAGGGCTGCTGCTAGGAAAGTGGGTTCTCTATGTCATCCTAAACAATGTTTCTCCCCAGAATCTATCTTACATAATTATAAGTTGATCATTTGTCTATGCTTTGAATATTGCTGACACATACAGTCTGGTGCTCTTGCTATATATTTAGAAATTCTTTATGAAATCCAAAGAAGAATCTTCAATATTATTGGTCCTGATCTGGCATCTCAGCTTCAGTCACTTTCCCATTGCCGTAATGTAGCTTCTCTGTGCCTTTTCTATAAATACTTTCATGATAAATGTTCTGATTACCTGTCCTCTATGGTACTGAGAATTTAAGTACAATACCATATTGGCAGCATGATCTCATCATTTTGCAGTTGAAATGACTAGATTTAACCATAACTTCTCTGTCAACAGTTCCTTTTCTCACTTGTGGAACTGTGTTCTGGTTTTCCAGTCAAGATTGATTTTCAAAAAGTTTAATGTAATGTCAATCATTGCTTATATCTTCTGACTTCCTGTTCTTCTCTTGTTCTTGCTCCTTAACGTTTTATTTTTCTTACATTCTTTCACACACAGTAAGAATTACCTCTTTGTGGATTTATTGCCTTGCTTGGGGTAAAATGATTAAACAGAAAAAAAGAGAGAAAACAGAAAAAAAGAGAGAAAACAGAAAAAAAGGAGAGAAAAGAAAGAGAGAAAAAAGAAGGAGAGAAAGAAGGAGAGAAAAAAGGAGAGAAAACAGAAAAGAAAAGAGAGAAAACAGAAAAGAGATAAAGCAGAAAAGAAAACAGAAAAAAGAGAGAAAACAGAAAAGAGAGAAAACAGAAAAGAAAACAGAAAAAGAGAGAAAACAGAAAAAGAGAGAAAACAGAAAAGAAAACAGAAAAAGAGAGAAAACAGAAAAAGAGAGAAAACAGAAAAGAAAACAGAAAAAAAGAAAACAGAAAAAGAAAACAAAAAAAGAGAGAAAACAGAAAAAGAAAAAGAAAAAGAGAGAAAACAGAAAGAAAACAGAAAAAGAGAGAAAACAGAAAAGAAAACAGAAAAAGAGAGAAAACAGAAAAGAAAACAGAAAAAAAGAGAAAACAGAAAAGAAAACAGAAAAAAAGAGAGAAAACAGAAAAGAAAACAGAAAAAAAGAGAGAAAACAGAAAAGAAAAAAGAAAAAAAAAGAGAGAAAACAGAAAAGAAAACAGAAAAAAAGAGAGAAAACAGAAAAGAAAACAGAAAAAGAGAGAAAACAGAAAAGAAAACAGAAAAGAAAACAGAAAAAAGAGAGAAAACAGAAAAAAGAGAGAAAACAGAAAAGAAAACAGAAAAAAGAGAGAAAACAGAAAAGAAAACAGAAAAAGAGAGAAAACAGAAAAGAAAACAGAAAAAAGAGAGAAAACAGAAAAGAAAACAGAAAAAAGAGAGAAAACAGAAAAGAAAACAGAAAAAGAGAGAAAACAAAAAAGAAAACAGAAAAAAAGAGAGAAAACAGAAAAGAAAAACAGAAAAAAGAGAGAAAACAGAAAAAAAAAGAGAAAAGAGAAAAGAAAAAAGAAAAAAGAAAAAAGAAAAGAAAACAGAAAAAAGAGAAAACAGAAAAGAAAAAAAAAAGAGAGAAAACAGAAAAGAAAACAGAAAAAAGAGAGAAAACAGAAAAGAAAACAGAAAAAAGAGAGAAAACAGAAAAGAAAACAGAAAAAAGAGAGAAAACAGAAAAGAAAACAGAAAAAAGAGAGAAAACAGAAAAGAAAACAGAAAAAGAGAGAAAACAGAAAAAACAGAAAAAAAAACAGAAAAAGAAAAAAACAGAAAAAAGAGAAAACAGAAAAGAAAAACAGAAAAAGAAAACAGAAAAGAAAAAGAAAAAGAGAAAAAGAAAAGAAAAACAGAAAAGAAAAGAGAAAAAAAAAAAAAGAAAAAAGAAAAAAAAGAAAAAAAGAGAAAAAAAAAAGAGAGAAAACAGAAAAAAAGAGAGAAAACAGAAAAAAAGAGAGAAAACAGAAAAAAAGAGAGAAAACAGAAAAAAAGAGAGAAAACAGAAAAAAAGAGAGAAAACAGAAAAAAAGAGAGAAAACAGAAAAAAAGAGAGAAAACAGAAAAAAGAGAGAAAACAGAAAAAAGAGATAAAGCAGAAAAAAGAGATAAAGCAGAAAAGAAAACAGAAAAAAAGAAAACAGAAAAGAAAACAGAAAAGATAAAGAAAACAAAAGAAAAAGAAAACAAAAAAGAGAATGAAAGAAAAAAGAAAAAGAACTGAGGTGAAAGCAATGACAAGTCATCTTTTTTTTTTCTTTTTAAAAGGAGAAAATAATGAGGGTGGGTAATGATCTACAAATGACTAAGTGTCAGGTTAGGAGAATTGTGATTGTTGAATATAACTAAAGCACAGTCACTTTGATATTTTCATTCATTTTCAAAATGAAAAAAAATAAGTGTTCTTTTCGTTTATTTGTTTTTATTTACCTAACAGAAGGATGAAAATGAAAACAAACAATAAAAGCATTAAGTGAAACACACTCACCTAGGGCTGCATTAGGTCCACCTGTGTTTGTGAGAAACATACACTGAATATAAGAACCAATAGCATTCACCAAATCACGGAAAATCTTTGTCGAGTGTGGTTTCATGTCATAACTTTCACAGAATGACCTGCAAAGAGAAAAATTTTAAATAATTTTTTAAAATTATCTCCCCCAAAATTATTAAATTTATTAAAAATTACTCAAATATTATAAAAAATTCAAGTACTGAAGTCCTCAATATTTTTAAGCAAAAATTTAACATTTTCATATACACATACAAAATACACACATACACACAAAATACACACACAATGAGATTTAATACTTCTAAAAGTCTTAATTTTACATCACCCTCATCAGGAGATTAATTTTAAGAGAAACAAAAAAAAAAAAATGAAATAAAAACTCCACATACATAATACAACAAAGAAATTCATTTTTCTTTGTATAAATACTAAGAAACATTTACAAAAAAAGAACTACAATCAAGTTTAGGGAATTTGATCATTAAAAAAAAAAAAAAAAAATTACACTAATACTTAGTTTCCACCATTTCCTTCACAGTAATACCCTGTCTGCTGCTTGCACACTAGCTCACAAAAAGTAGCAGGAAAAGTTTGGATAACATTTTATTGTTCAAACTCCCCAATCATTTGGATAGCACCTTGTTTATTAATGTGATACACACAATTTTTTCAATATTTCTGATGATCTTTTTTTCATCTCCAGTTAGTAATGTTAAAACTTCTCATATCTAATTACTTACCAATACCAATTGCATATTAAAAAAAAAAAAAATTAATGCTGTGTGGGCAAAAACACTTTGGTTGGGACGTGACAAAACCTTTCCTGAACATGCATGAAAGTTTTCATGCTGGTAGGCAGTGTCAGATCTCAGCTGTTACAGCAAGAGTACAGATGTGTAGTCTGCACTTGTCAGATTTCATTTTCATGTGAGATGACTGATTGCATCAAGTTTTCCGAAAAGTTTGGTGATACTCAAGCTCAAACAATCCACAAGATTCATCAGGACTTTGGTGACGATGCCATCAGAAAAACTCAGGTGAAGGAGTGACACAAATGCTTCAAATATGGCTGCAGCTGAGTGGAAGACTATTGTGTAACAATCCAGAAAATTGCTCACAAAGTGGAAATAAACACAGAACCAGTGCATTTCATATTAACGTAGGATTTATGCATGTGAAGAGTGTCAGTGAAATTCATCCCTAAGGTGCTGGCAGAGCAGCAACAGCAACTCCACATAGAAATCATATGGTTTTCAGATTGTGGAAGAACCAGAAGTCACAATGGAGAGTAGGGAGCCTGTTGAACAAGTAGTGTTTTATTCTTGACATGGAGAGATTGGTATAATATATATCTGCTTGCCAAGTTCAATTCACCTTGCATGAAAATTAAACTCCAACAAGTATACACTACATGCCTGTACTCCAGGTGTAACAGCTGGGATCTGATGAAGCCCAGTGGTATGAAAATTTTCATGTATCTGCAGAAATGGTGGCATTACCTCTAACCCAACAGATTTTGCCCATGCAGCATTAGTTTTGGAGGAGAAAAAATAAAGATACTTTTTGAATACATCTCTTATATGAGAAATTAAAAACTACACCAAAAATATTATGGAAAATAAGGAAAACAGCATCAACCTACAACAATAAATCCAAAGACTGTAATCATGTTCCCAAACCAACACAAATTACAAAATAAATGGTCAAAATTTCTCAAAATTCAGACATAAAAAAAACTTTGACTATGTTACTCAAAAACCAAAAATAAATACCTTTTTAAAATACTATTATAAAAAATAAAAAATGCAAATATATGCCCTAATATACAATGCAGGTGTAATGTAAGATACTTTAGATCAAGGGTCGGCAACCAACGGCCCGCGAAGGCATTTTGACCGGCCCGCGAGCCTGATTACCAATGACTATTTTTAACATGAAAGACAACCTTCAAATGAAATTTGTTATATCTCATTTTCCATAGAACATCTCAATGCACTAAAAATATTAGACTATCTGCCAGTTATCTTTCATGAGATTTATTTTACCAAGTTGCATTGCCTACGTTTAATGTCAAATAATGGATACATATTTGTTATGACCCTTGTCTACATTAAAAGATAACACAAGCGAAAGAAATGATAAAATGAAAGAGGCCAGGGAGGGACTGACATGTGAGGTAGCAGAAATCTAAAGACAGTTAAACAAACGCGCATTATACATACATGTCTCATGAATGTGTAGATGATACCGCATGAGTACGTACGTAAGTGTATATGTTTGAAACTATTTTTATCATAAGTATGGGTATATGTGCTTTGTTTTTGTGTGTGTGGAACAATTTTCAATAACAGTTTCAAACCTACACGTTATAATTTCATCCATTTCACTTCGGTTAATTTTTTTCACTTTGAAGTATTTTGACGTTCCTTGAAGAAAAGTAATTTTTGTTAAGCGTTTTTTTAATTTTAGATTTTCTTTTGTTTTTCTGATTTCTCAATGTTTATTTTCATTATGATTTTAAATATTTAGGTTGACAGGGGTCTGCATATGTAATTTTCCTTAATTTTTCATTAATGGCCTTCGTCCAACCCATGACCCGTCATTATAACACGATCCGACCCGCGAATGAGTTGCCGACCCCTGCTTTAGATGAAGTCAATACTTTAAAACAAATAAGATAGCCAACCCCCTATCAAAAAAAAAAAAAAAAAATTTTAAAACCAAATAAATCAAACAGATAAAGTTAATAAACAAATTAATAAAATATGAATGCACATATAAGCCCATGTGAATGTAATAATAATCAACAATAAATAATTAATAAATAATGAGTAAATAGTTAACAAACAACATTATAAAATAGCTATAATTAACCGTATTCATATCCACAATTATTCCTACTCAATAACCTCTGGAATAATTTGAAACATAACTGTTACCACCTACCCAATAACCTTGAGGATAATACAATAGAACTTGCTACCCATAATGCACCATTAGTTGAGCCTAAACATAGCCTAAAGGTTGCATTGAAGTCCATATATAACTAAGAGTTGTACTATGGTGAGAAAAAAAAATTGTATATAGGTGGAGGGGTGCATAATTATCAGGCGTTTTTAAACAATATTTAATATGAAGAAAGAAGCATAACAATAACATTTTTAAATTATTATTCTGGAGCATATGATTGTCAACATGCATTTTTATAAACCTGAGAATAAAATGTTTTAATTGAAAAAAAAAAAAAAAGTAAACAAAACAACAATTTTTATTAACAAATAACACCTACAAAAACGCCTGATAATTATGCACCAAATATATATATATATAATATATATATATATATATATATATATATATATATATATATATATATATATAATAAACAGCTGACAACTCATTTCCGAGTACAATGTTTACTTTCCAAAATAATAGCTTAATAATAATAATAATTATTGGCACAAAGTGGAATCCTAAAGCAGAGTTTAAATTCCAAATGAGTTGTGCTACCAATGTGGAGAAAAAGAATGTATATTTATTAATATATTAGATTGAGCACTATCTTATTAACCCCAACATTCAATGTGTGATGTGTATATCTATAAAAAGGCAGGATGTGTGTGTGTGTGTGTGTGCATGTGTGTAACGAATTTTCAACGGATTTGCACCAAAATTTACATGCACATACTCCAAGTTAGCGGGAAGGCCAAGACCGACTTTGCATTTCCCAACTCCCATCGATAGTGGAAATAATCAAGCTTTTCATCCTTCTACGGCAGTTTTCATGTAGTTTGCGGCCATTTTCTACTGGCCAGAGTGAGAGACTATAGCTGGCTGCCACGAATAGGCAGGAAGATTCTATCAGCCAGTGTGAGAGCCAACAGCTGACTGACATGAATGTTAACTAGCATGCAAAAAAATCAATAGATGCATTCATCACAAGTGGGAAAAATTTAAATCTGCATGGCACTTTACTCCAATTGGCTCATTCGCTTGCTTAAAGTCAATGTTGATTCTGATTCCGCAGAACTGGGCTGGGTGTGAAAAAGTATTTGTTGTTTACATTTTTTTTCATTCAGTTTTTCTAGTTACGAGTCCTTTTTTAAAGCTGATCATTTTGTGTTCCTTTTGTTTAGTTCTTTTTTTGTAACAGATTTAATGTTTAGCATAGAGCTTAGAAAAAATTTGCAGTGTGAGATAGGCAAGAAGTAAGGCATGTAGCAACATCAGCACGGCAAAGGGCACTCCTTTAAAGGCAAGGAAGGGCAAAAATATTTTAAGTCAAGTGATAGCGATTGCTGTATGAGTCGTACGATTTTTGAATCAAGCATGGGCAACACTGCTAGTTTTATATATTAACCAATCTTCTGGCTACTTTCTGAAGAAAATGAAGGGTGGGGGCAAGCACTAATATTTTCTGCAAGAAACTCCATAACAATACCATCACCAATGGAATCTGATTTGATATTAAATGAACCTAATTAAATTAATTTCTACCAATAGCTGAATTGAATGTTATAATTAAAGTGTTCTTAATGGTGCACCCAAAATACTTGGAATATTTATATTTTCATTAAATAATAATAAATAAATTAAAAGATAAAATTGTGTATAGCTAAATCAACTAAATTTATGTCTTTATATTAGGAACCTTTGGAAAATTTTTACATTGTCTTCACAACAGACTAAAATACATAATCCTCAATTAATTTTTCTTTGATTAATGCACTGAAATTTTTATACCAAAATACAATTAGTGCATACATTAGTGCAGAATTTTTGGTACCTTTTGCTGTATTAGTGAGCCAGCCAAATGAGCTGACTCATTTTATAGTTCACCAACAGAAGGTTAACCAATCAGAAGGCTCAAAATATTCAATGTGATGTGTATAAATTGTGAAATATTCCAAAAAAAAGAGTTTCAAACATGAAATGATACAAATGTGACTTATTAAATATGACTGTCATATTTTTCGCCAGATCAAAAACATTAAAACAATTATCAGTGGGAAATAGATCATGAGATGCATGAATCTTATATCAAAATTAACATCTTATTTTAATAAAGCTTGATAGTTGTAAAAAAAAAAAACCAAAATCTAATACTTATCACTAGAAGAAAAAAAAAATTCTGTGGAAAATTCTTGGTCTTAAAATTCATTTCTTTGTTAATAGTTATACTTAAATATATATTATATTTTTTTTTTCTATATAATTTTCTCAAATTTTTTTTTTATGGCAGTTACAGTTTTTGTGTAATAAGACATTACTGTCCATCTCAGCAAACCGAAAATGTATTAATCTACCTTGACAGGTAAACATGTCTTATGACATGGCCGAGCAAATGTAATATAAAAAAAAATTCAAGTTTCAGCTCCAAAAAATGTAAATTTTGTCATGAAAGTTGGAAAGCAGGTAGTTCTCATTTTAGGGAAAAGGTTTGGATCATTCAGATCAAATTAAACCGTTTATAACAGCTACAAAGTAGCGTCAAACAGTGTAACAATGAAAACCACACACTGTATCCAAAACCACTATCTTTGCATTTCAAACCACTGACAAACAGGACATGGACCATTACAAATCAAACACCAAGTGCATTTTGCAAGCAATCTTGTTACTCCATGGAGATTAGAAGACTGATAGTTTCATTTTTTATATAGCAAGTCATTTGAAACAATCAAGGTAAAGATGAAAATTTTTAATGGTAGAGCATTTTAATTCATGCCATGGCAATGTTCAAGAATAGGACAAATTTTTTTTTTCAAAGTGATGCTTTTAGTCTATTCCGGATTTAAGAATTGCTTGTGATAATTGTGACAAAGAAATTAAGCCACTAACACTGAGATTATATTATCTTTCAATCTACATATAATTGAAGATTAAATCTAAAAAATACAAAAGAAACCAAGGGAATTAATTACAATAAATTCGTTTTCTGAATTACCTCCCTTGTTATTTTGTCTTTACTTTTTTTTTTTTTTTTCTAAAAAAATAGTTTTATAAGCGATTCAAATTTTTTTTTTACGAATTCATTCTCCAGACAGAAATTACGTTGTTGTATTTTTTTTTTAAATTATTATTATTATTATTATTCTATTTCCCCTACACCATAAACATATTTCTATTGTTGTGGGCTTTTACGGTGATATAACTGATTACAGGTATGCATATCTGAGAAAAATCCTCTACAAACAAGTCTTTTTGATTTAGGAATAGAACAAATGTTTTAAAAAAATAAATAGATAAGAATCTTTAAAAGTCGGTAATTTTTGTGAAAAAATAAAATTATTTTCATAAATCCAACTGTATTTCCATATATTGTGACCATTTTGATTAAAGTTTGGTTTGTTTTATATCAACTTCAGTGGGTTATTTAACACTGACAAAATTTTTATTGCTATTAATATTTTTCCAAAAATGTATTGCTGGTATTAAAAACTATCTTTAAACTTTCATAGTGTTTTGGGGGTTAACTATTTACTTATAGCAGGGACCCTAACAGATGCTACCACCTCGGATCAGGTGGAACTGGGAACACCAGCAAATAAGTGGTGGTTCCACACTCCTCAAAACCTGATCAGAAACCTTATTGCTGGATGTAGCTTATCGTCATACTCAGGACGTGGCAGTAGTTTATCATCATTCCCAGGATGCCTCATTGTGGGGGTCTTACCCCTCTGCAGAGGTGCATTTGGCATATTCTGTAGCCACAGCCAGCAGGGAAATTGAAGTTTGTATTTTCTTGATTTGGGATGAAATCTAAGAAATTTCCCAACATATTTCATTGAAATGTTTACTTTCCAAAATAATAGTTTAAAAATAATAAGTATTGAGACGTGGAATTCAAAATCAGAAATTCTGATTTAGTCTGTTACATTTATTTTTTTCACTAATGACCCTCTGAAAGATATGAAACCATTTTTTTCCTCCCTAGTTATGGGTTAAAATAGTAAAAACAGACTAGTCTCTTTAATATTTGGTGGCAACTAGTTTAAAAGAACTACTATGAATTGAAAACCATGGAGAAAGAAAGAGTAAAACAACTCAACTATTTCTTCCAAGAAGTCATTGCAAATTCACAGACAATGAATAAAAATCTCATTAATAGTACAGAATTTTATTATAGCAGCAAAAAACAGGTGTAATTAAAAATGTCAAGGAAAAAAACACCTGCCATAGTTGGCATGAAAATATGAACATAAAAGAAAGAGAAAAAGAAAAAGAAAGAGAAAAAAAGAAAGAGAAAAAAAGAAAGAGAAAAAAGAAAGAGAAAAAAGAAAGAAAAAAAAAAAAGAAAGAGAAAAAAGAAAGAGAAAAAAAGAAAGAGAAAAAAGAAAGAGAAAAAGAAAGAGAAAAAAGAAAGAGAAAAAAAAGAAAGAGAAAAAGAAAGAAAGAAAAAAGAAAGAGAAAAAAGAAAGAGAAAAAGAAAGAGAAAAAAAAAAGAAAAAAAGAAAGAGAAAAAAGAAAGAGAAAAAAGAAAAAGAGAAAAAAGAAAGAGAAAAAAGAAAGAGAAAAAAAAGAAAGAGAAAAAAGAAAAAGAAAAAAAGAAAGAGAAAAAAAAAAAGAAAAAAAGAAAGAGAAAAAAAGAAAGAAAAAAAGAAAGAGAAAAAAAGAGAGAGAAAAAAAGAGAGAGAAAAAAAGAGAGAGAAAAAAAGAGAGAGAAAAAAGGAGAGAGAAAAAAGGAGAGAGAAAAAAGGAGAGAGAAAAAAAGAAAGAGAAAAAAAGAAAGAGAAAAAAAGAAAGAGAAAAAAAGAAAGAGAAAAGAAAGAAAGAGAAAAGAAAGAAAGAGAAAAGAAAGAGAAAAGAAAGAAAGAAGAGAAAAAAAGAAAGAAAAAAGAGAAAAAAGAAAGAGAAAAAAGAAAAAAGAAAAAGAAAGAAAAAGAAAAAGAAAAGAAAAAGAAAAAAAAGAAGAAAGAAAAAGAAGAAAGAAAAAGAAGAAAGAAAAAGAAGAAAGAAAAAAGAAGAAAAAAAGAAGAAAAGAAAAAGAAGAAAAAAAAAGAAGAAAGAAAAGAAGAAAAGAAAAGAAAAGAAAGAAAAAGAAGAAAGAAAAAAGAAGAAAGAAAAAGAAGAAAGAAAAGAAAAAGAAAAGAAGAAAAAGAAAAAGAAGAAAGAAAAGAAGAAAAGAAAAAGAAGAAAAAGAAAAAGAAAAAGAAAAGAAAAAAGAAAAGAAAAAAGAAAAAAAAAAAAAAAAAAAGAAAAGAAAAAAAAAAGAAAAAGAAAAGAAAAAGAAAGAAAAAGAAAAGAAAAAGAATAAAGAAAAGAAAAAGAAAAAAAGAAAAGAAAAAAAGAAAAAAGAGAAAAAAGAAAAGAAAAAAGAGAAAAAAGAAAAGAAAAAGAAAGAATGGAATGGGCTAATTGATTATCCCTCATCAGAACTCAATCAAGGTAAGTAAATAAAATTACTGTGCACACTAATGACAAAAAGATATACACATGTCTCAATAATATACTGAAAGGAGTATATTTTTTCATAAGCAGATCACATTAAGTTCACACAACAAATCCTTCAATTTATACAGGAATGACTGTTTTGCTTCTTCGTCACACAATGTAGTCAACCAAAATCAAAATTACATGAATGGCCTCATCAAGCTCTTTTTGATTCACAATCATCTCCACCACAGCCACCCAGGGGGAGAGAAAGGGAATAGGGTGAGCAAGTGATGCTGATGATTGTTTTGATTTAATAAAACTGGTTTCCAGGACTTTCAGATGGCAGCTACAATGTGACCTGCACAAAACAAAGAAGCTCCTCACAGAAGGACACAGCACATTCTTAATTTTTCTCCTTTTTTTTTTAAAGATATTCCGTGATTGCAGACTCAGATGTGTCCGAACACTTATGCAAATTATCCAATCAGCCCTTTCTAATTAATGACAGTACAGGTTGATAATTAAGAAAAATATTTTTTTATATATATATATGATATATATATATGATATATATATATATATATATATATATATATATATATATATATATATATATATATATATATATATATATGATATATATAATAATATCAAATCTGTAAGTGGAAAAGATAACTCAAATATGTCTTTAATATAAAATATTAAAAAGATCCATGAAGAGAGCTGTATTGTATACAGAGCAATATAATATACATCAAAAGAAAAAAAAACTTAACACATTTCAAAAAATCTGGTTTATATATATATATATATATATATATATATATATATATATATATATATATAGCCTCTGATGGTCGCTTCTTGTCATCATGTAGAGGCTTGCATGGTCCAACGACTCTAAGAGTGATGTCATCGGGAGTTCTAAAATCCTGGTAGAGACACCTATAGCGGCAAGGTCAAAGACAGGATCCAGACGAAATATGATCAACCCCAAAAACCCCAATGGTGGAACAAGCAGATGATGATTACAACAGATGTCAACGGTTGAACCAGTTGATGAAGAGGACTACGCATGACAGACATGTTACAGAAGGCACCCTTTGAAATTATAACAGAGTTAGCAGCAGTCCGTTGCAGTTTCATAACTGAATTCTGCATGTCACATTCCATATGTGCTGTAGAGGAAGGTCATGAAATCAAGTGTGTGGGTCACTTCCTTGCAAGTCAAGGTCCACATTGAACAAATTCATGCCATTGGCACTTTCTTCTACCCTGATTTCCTTTCACCTCCAACCAAATCTTGCAAAGACAGATGACACTAAAGAATGGATGATGGGAGTAGGTTTTGGTGAAACTGGAAGCTTCTAGCCCGGAAACTGCATGTTGGTGGCAAATTTAGCCATCAATGCCATCATCATAAAGGAAGCCATCAGCAAAGAAGAAATTAAATTCTTGGATACAAGATAAATGATTATATATACAGAAGATCCTCAGGTTACATCAGACTCAAGGTAAAATGTTCTGTCATTACAGTGCCATTTCCCATAATATGTTGTCATACGGTGCCATATGAGGAAGATGGTGTTATTTCTTCACCAGCTGTATGCCATATTGGATTGTGCTACATTCTCTATCTCTCGTTTGTGTAGTTTTTTGGGGGGGAAAATATTTGGCCTTCATTATGGCTCCCAAGTGTAAGGCAGACTCGTGGGTGCTTTCTGTAGGGGAGTTCTGATCTACATCAAAAATCAGATTACATCAAGCTGTAGGAAGTGATCTCCAAATAAGTCAAGGACCGTGTGTGTGTGTGTATATATATATATATATATATATATATATATATATATATATATATATATATATATATAAATAAAAGCGCAGGTATGCAGAAAATAGCAAAGAACACGTTGGGTGCATAATCCAGAGTTCCTTAGTATTTTTGTTTTTATTTTTAAGAAGATAGTGCTCCATACAGAAGTAGAGCTTATATTATAATATTTTTTGTTTAAAAATATGTTTGTTTGTTTGTTTAAAACTTAACGACCCATTGATCAGCAAGAGATCATTTAAGGTTAAACAGTTGTTTTTTTTTGTTTTTTTTTAAATAAGGTGTTTAAAAATATGATTCCTTCGCTACATAAGAGTTCTTATGTTTCAAAAACGAGAGCCGAAACCATCCAAATAATTATTAAAATTTAGTTGAATTGAGGTGTTTAGTTCTGTTTCATCTTCAAGCGAAATTTTAGGAATCATAGGATTAGAATTAGGATTCCTAAAATTTTGCTTGAAGATGAAACGAAGGAATCATTTTTATATATATATATATATATATATATATATATATATATATATATATATATATATATATGAGAGAGAGAGTCATTATCACTCCAAGAATTGTTTGGTCAACTGTATTCATTTTTCCCTGCAAGCCATCTGTAGAATGTCCCTAAAGAAAGAACACAATCTCTTTTCACAAAAAATTATGTTCTCAAAAAAATAGTGCACATCAGTATTTTTTAAATGTTGATAGACTTACTTTAACAAATCAGGCTGCACAGTTAACTTATGAAGAACTTCAAGAGTAAGGCATCGTTGCCAAGTTGGTTTCTCTGGTTCCAAAAATTTCACAAGTAATGACAAGAAAATCTCACACTCTGTCACCTGCAATTAAAACAAAAATATATTAGATTAAATGTACAAGTTTTTTTTAATACAAATTTAAGATTCTATAAATTTAAAGGTTCAGTATTATTTGACAATGTTCGGATATATTTTCAAAAAGAATACATCATTAATATAAAAGTCATCATAGAAAAAAAAAAAAAAAAAAAAAATCAAATTATCAGATTGTTCAGAAAAAAAAATGTCCAATTGCAGAATTAATATTATTTTTGTATTAATGTATGTAAACAGTCTTTAAATCAATCAAAATAGAAACTCTGAACTTCAATATATTTCTGCCATAGAGTTAAAATGTCTTTACAATCTAAATTCTAAAGGTTTGAAAGCCAAGAAATCTTTGAATGCATTTTCTACATCTTCATTGCAACGGAATGTCTTTTTTAAGCCAAAAGATATTCCGTTGCAATAAAGAAGTAGAAAATGTCAAGATGCTTGAAAAAGTGGTCGTCAATGGGTGAGAAATCAGGGGAATATGATGGGGTATGGGAAAAATTTGTATCCAGATTAGGTGAACTTCTGCTGTGTCATCCTGACAACATGTGGCCTTGCATTGTCAAACTATCATAAATATTTAATAGAGAAAAAACTAATTCCAAACAACTAGATTAACTGAGGAGTTGTTTAGTCATCAAATTCATCTGATTTAAAAACCAAACTTATACCAATGTCAGAACCATTTATTAAAAATTATATAAATTATTTCAATTAGCTGAACCCATAGAAATTCTACAGCTGACACTTGAAATATTGCCTTTACATTCTAAGAGGGATAAATTGTAAGCATTCAATAAACCATAAAGTCATATGCTGCATATTGCATTATAATAAATTTTCAAAAATTCTATAGTCTTTGCTAATTTTTATTACTAAAAGTAATCATTTCATGTTGGCATATTTCCTATTATTATATCATTTCAATGAAACAGACATTATAGCTTCCACCATTTTTCCAATAATACAGATATAGCTTTAATGTACACCAAAATGAGGCTTGACAGAAGTTTAAAAAAAGAAAAATGCTTAGAGATTTACACTGTCGTTGCTGTAATTCGTGGGCGGAGGAGCTACATTTTGTGTGCAGTGGACAGGAAAGCTATTACTCAACAAACACGCTAACTAATTAAAGAACAAAGGAACAAGCAGAATTATATTTATAAAATAATTTACATTTTTTATATAAAAATTTAATCCAAGCGAATCTGATTTTTATTTTGTTGTGTCTGTCAAAATACAAACAAATATTGACCAGTCAATTCAACAGAACTTTCTCCAATCTGTGTAGTCTGAGATAGCAGATTACAACATCGGTCAGATCCTTAAAACCTCATTCTTTGGCTGAGGGGTAAGTTAGAATAAAGTCAATCCCGAATCCACCCACTTCAGAATTCATTACCCAATCGAAAACAATTACATGTGCCATAAATGTCATAATACTGTCAAAATCTCAGGTGATCTAAAATATCACATAAAATCCATCAGGCTGCTGGCACCCAGCCAGCAATTGTTACCCATAATAACAATCCAGTAGGTAATTTTACCTGTTCCATCTGTCAACATATAAACACAAATGACTCTCAGGAGTGAATTCAATGGATTCCTTCAATTCAAGAACATGGCCTTGAAGATTTTAGCTTTTATATAATTTTTACTAAATATTTCCATTGGTTTATGACCAACCAATTAATAGATAATTATAAATCATAACTTACTATGTCTGGTCCTATAATCACCATTACATTTAGTGTATAAAACAAATTCAAATGCCACAAGTATTATGGGTGAGGTTATAAAAATTACTAAATTAAAAAGTAATTTACCAAATAAATATTTCTACATTTAAGCTTTTTATTACATTTTTTTATCATTTTTGTAAACAAACACTTTGATTCTAGGCTTGTAATAAAAATATTCAGTACAAATGTTATGACCCTGTGCAAGACCATCGCTATCAATTCTCATGTCAGTATTCAACAATAGTGGTTTTTCTGGTCTCGTAAATTGGAAGATTGTCTAATTTGTTGTGTCCATGGTTTTGTGGAATACTAGAGGATTCTTTGGCTAAAACAGAATATTGCCAATTTCCATGCACCATAATTACCTGACATCTGTTTAGCATTCAACAACTTCCTGTTTACACTAAATGTATGTAAAGTAATTAAGAAATGTATACTAAAATTCTATTCTATTATGTAGATACCATACTGTAATTTAGTAAATATGTTTGTGTGTTCATTCATAGTCTGTTTGATGCAATGACCCTCCCAACGGTCAATAGCTTACACCTATTATCATCCACCATGTGTGTTCCTTAAACAGACAATTTGCCTTACGTCTGACTGGATTTACTCAATTCAGAGAGAAGGATCCAATTGTTTGAGAACAAATTCATGAGAAAACTTCTTGGCATCTTTTATTGAGAACATAAAAGAAATGATTTTTTGCAGAAAAGGGTTGAACGTTTTGTGAGCCACCAGGAACCTCTTCTCGCCATCATCAAACAGAGAAAAATGGCGTGGTTTGGACACATTACAAGCTATGGCAGCCTGTGCAAGATCATCATGCAAGGCACCGTTCAAGGTGGACATAGGAGAGGATACCAATGTAAAAACTGGTTGGACAATGTCAAACAATGGATAGGTATTGACTATACCAGAATTGCTGACAGCTGCCAGTGATAGACCATTATGGAGGAGATTTAGTGTGGCTTCTGCATTTAGATCCTCCCCCCTACAAATACAAAAGTGAAGGGGACGACGATGATGATGATGAGTTAAACAAATATTCAATCCTTACTGATTCAGTTTCCAGCATTCACTTATAGATCTAATTAAAACTTTTAATTAGTTCTTCCTCTCATTGCTTGATGTAAACTTTCTTCATGGCATTTTGCATTTGTTTTAACAGTACATCCCTTCCAAAGAGGTATTTTTGTGCACCAACATGAATTTCACCTGGTTACAATCGGAAAAGGTATGAGAGAAATAGAAATTCAATGCACTTACCAAGAGTTGATAATAAAACTTGATGAGGATAGACACAATTCTTAGTAATCTCATAACAATGGGAAAGAAAGGTTTCTCTGCAGGAGCTGGAGAGGGCGGTGGAGGCACCCCCTGCCTGTATTTGAGGCTTGGTGAAAATAATTTAATTACTAAGGGACAAACACGCTCCTTTAACATGAAACTGAACTCAGGATGCTGAAAAATAAAATTTGTCATAATTATCCATTTTACATTAAAATTACAAGACATTCCAAAAATAAGTTTTTATTTTGACTCTCAGTTTAATTTAAATCAAACCAAAAGTGCCATTTATTGTCTGACTATCAAAGTTAAGCTGCAATGAACCTGATTAGTGATCACTTAGTAAGTACAGTCAGCAACTTGAGAACTGTAAGCCAAACTAAACAAAACTTAGTAAATAATATTAAAAGAATTACAAACAAGGCACTGGTTCCTGCCAAATTGTCAAAGTTAAGCACCAACAAATCTGATCAGTACTTAGAAAGACCTGATACTGTAAGAAACTTGTTTTGTGTTAGAAGCCATGTTATGTTAGTTGGAAAGGAACTGAAGCCAAGATGTCAGGTCAGGACGAATAACATTACAGACCCTTGAATTTTTTGTCAACAAACTTGAGATATATAGGAGCAGCAAACCAGATATGGCAGCAATTCTCAATGCAGAAGATGAATGGTAGATTTATAAATGTGTAAGATCAATTCTAAGAAGAAGAAATGTCTGGTACAGTCCAGTGAACCAACTTTCCTAACAACAGGCCTAGCAATTGATCCAATATAATCGCTCCACTTTATGTCAGTGGAAAATAAGTTGCTCATGTGGAGGCCATCATCAACCATAGCTGATGGAAGGCAAACAAGATTCTCTATGGTGATTAAAAGATAAGTTTCATTTTGGGGGCCTTAAAATTTACCAGCCATTTTTGAGTGGAAGAGCACAGGCCATGACATTGCTGTGATAATATTAAGGAAGATGCTGGCGATTTGCTGTTACTTATTCCCCAGCAAGAACCTATAAAACCTGTGGCATGAACATATAAATCCACAAAGTTACATCATTATAACAAGAGAAAACATTAATGAGTACATTTTTCTTTTTTTTTTTGTATAAATTTTAACCAGCTGTTTATACAACCTGTTATAGGTCAACCTGTTATAATAGGTCAAAATTAATTCAATTAAATGGAGTATAGTAGTCCACCATTATTAGGTAAACCAGTTTACTGTGGTATCCGGTGTACTATAGGTGAGGAGAGTACCCCAAGAATTTGTCCTTGTAATCTCAATATCGCTCATTTTTTTTTTTTTTTTTTAGAAATTCCACCCTATTTTACCAATTTCTGGGCCATCTTCTTCACGATAGACAGAACAAACAGCAATCATCAGATGGGTCCTAATTTGTTTTAATAATTTTTTTTTTCACACGTTTTACCTTGATTCTGATGATCAAACAGCCCAAATTTTGTGAAAGTTGAACCCCTCAGCTGTTTTACACCTAATCCTATTGTCTTTATAATAATTACACATGATTACTTTATATTTTTTATTTCATGCGCGATCAAAGTGTTCCTATAATATTGGACTAATTAACAGGAATTCAATCACTGCAATCAGATACCATGGATGGAGTATAAATAGGAGTACTTTTCTCTGGTTGATCATGTTCAATTTGATTATCCAACAGTAGACATCAAGAATCTCTCAAAAACAAATATAAATAGTACGTAGTAATTAGGGGCTGCAATCAGGAACACCTGGGAATAAATTTCCCCAAACAGTTATATATATGTATAAATTTACATGCTTAATTCGAAAATAACAAAGAAATTAAGCATGTAAATTTATAAAAAAAACAATGACTGTTCAGAAAATTTTTATTAGATAGTTTGGGGCTTAAAAAGCAAATTAACCAAAATTTCTTTTGGAATCATTGGTATAAATTAGTATAATTTTTTTGAGATTCTTTTCAAGCCATTATCTACAGTAAATATCATGAAATAAGGCAAACAGGGCCCAAAAATCAGGTAGGTGTTCAACCTCCTATTATTGCCCATGCCCTCACAGCTACTGTGATTCACTTGCAGAGTGGGTTGGCCATCTTGGACCCCAAAGCCTGCATTATAGTGGTGGACTACTGTATATAAAGTGGCAGTGAAAATTCAGGAAATATCAGAAAAATAAAAATATAATCTAGTGAATACATTTGAACCTTGCAAGATTTCAGCTTTCTTTATTTCCTATTAGTTTTATTAATTCACCAATCATTACTTATTCTTTAATGAGAAACTAAATTTATTTCTGGTGATTCAGTGAGGTGGGGAAAGATATTAATGATTAAACGTCCAAGTTTTTGCAATTTTTTTAACCTAAAACCTGAGCAAGTTTCAATTTCCATCAGTATGTTGCATATTGTAAATAAAATAAGGAGCTATAAAAGGTAAATTCACAGCTAAAGCTTTTATAAAAAAATGCATTGTTAATAATTTTTATAAAATAATTATAGGATAATTTTATAAAATAATTATAGGATATAATTTTTATAAAATAATTATAGGATATAATTTTTATAAAATAATTATAGGATATAATTTTTATAAAATAATTATAGGATATAATTTTATAAAATAATTATAGGATATAATTTTTATAAAATAATTATAGGATATAATTTTATAAAATAATTATAGGATATAATTTTTATAAAATAATTATAGGATATAATTTTTATAAAATAATTATAGGATATAATTTTTATAAAATAAATTTATTATAGAAAATAATTTTTATAAAATAAATTTATTATAGAAAATAACTTTACTATAGAAAGAATTACAAAATAGGAAGAAACATGTCAGTGATCAAGAATTAAGATAAACATTACAGACAAAATAGAGTTACTGGCGGGAGCTTAAAAGTTCCCAGCTGAACCAAGAAGCCCTTTAAAATAAAATCCGATATTTGGTCAAAATTTGGGAGTAGGACAGGCAGAACTTTTCAGCAATTCTTCACATTATATGTCATTTCTTAAAATATTCAAATTACTGTTCATTATTATTTAAGAAAGAAAAAAGAATTTTTTTAAAATAATAATGGAAAATTACAATATTTTTTTTTTCTTTTGACAATTTCAATAACAACATCAAAAGTGTTATTTTATTGCTTTGTTCAGACTATTTTGGGAACTTAAAAGCTAGTCTTTTTTCTGATCTGCGGCTCATCTATGTTACTAATATCTACATTTGGCCTACTAATCATATAATCTGAGAATAGCATGTATGGTTATTCTATTAACTTTCATATTCTCCACTGGTCCCCCCCCTTGATTATTTTAACTTTTGTCCCCAAACAATGGTGAGCTTGCCATTTCTACCTGACATGATAAATGGTTCTCAATTTCACTTTCTCCACTGATAGAAAATCAGATTTGAAATATACGGGAAGGAATAAGTATGGCCCATCAAAAAAACAAGGTCCACCTTTCAAAGCAGATACCTGAGGAAGGCTGAAGTGTACAATGACCAAAATATTATAACAAGAGAGCAATAAAAAGGCTAAACTAAGCAATACCACATGTCGAACATCTTGGTCAAAAGCATTCAGACAAAAAGTCAAGATGTTAAATGTCCAAAAGAAAAACTCACATTTAGAAAAATATTTGAGAAAGTGGTAAGAACTGATTCAACAAGCTCCAAGCCAAAAGTCCGAGTCATTTCAGTCATTCCCATGAGCCAGTAAGGCTGATCAGCATTCACAAGCTGGCACAGATCCTACAGAGGAAGAAAATCAAAACAAATAAATATATAAATAAATAATAAAAAAAAAAATTTATTTCTCTTTCAAGAATTTCATCAAATTTCATTTAAGTCATGAATCAATAGCTGCATCTAATGCAAAAAAAAAAAAAAAAGTGTGTCATACCAGAAAATATTTCTCATCAGAATCCATCTTGCATATTTAGAAATCTATCATTCATTCCTGCACTGAATACTGAAATATTTGTTATTATTATATATACATATATATTATTATATATATATATATATATATATATATATATATATATATATATATATATATATATATATATATATATATATATATATATATATATATATATATATATATATATATATATATATATTATTATATATATATATATATATATATATATATATATATATATATATATATATATATATATTATATATATATATATATATATATATATATATATATATATATATATATATATATATATATATATATATATATATATATATATATATATATATATATATATATATATATATATATATATATATATATATACATACAATGATATATATTGTAAAAAATAATGTCATTTTTCACATATGTTACATTTATATATGATTTTGAATTAATTCATTGATATATATATATAATGTTATATATCATTTTGAAGCGCGTTTTCGCTCTATCGAATCGTGTTATTTGTTACCATTCTCAATCTCTTCATTCATTTGTTTGCAGGCTTTTCGACAGCATGGACAAAATTCACATCCGCATGGTTTTCTTGTTCCAGTTCAAACTAGGCCGAAAAGCTGCCGAGACAGCTCGTGATATCAATGATGCGTTTGGCCCAGGAACCACTAACTAACATGTGGTACAACGGTGGTTCAAGAAATTTCACAATGGTGACGAGATCCTCGAAGATGAAGACGGTCGCGGGCCGGCTGACTGCGGTTGATAACTAACATTTGAAAGTTTTAATTGAAGCCGATCCTCGCCAAAACCACACGAGAAGTTGCTGTTGAACTCGAGGTCAACCACTCAACAGTCGTTCGCCATTTAAAGCAAATAGGAAGTCAAAAAAGCTGGATAAATGGGTGCCGCATGAATTGAACGATAATCAAAAAAAATCATCATTTTGAGGTATCTTCTACGCTCCTTCTGTGCAACAAAAACGACCCATTTCTCAAGCGGATTGTGATGTGTGATGAGAAGTGGATCCTCTACGACAACCGCGACATTCGGCGCCAGTGGTTGGATGCCGGAGAAGCTCCACAATACTTCCTGAAGCCGAAATTGCACCAAAAAAAGGTTATGGTGACTGTTTGGTGGGTCTGGTCGGTCTCATCCATCACAGCTTCTTGAACGGGTGAAACGACACGGGCGGAGAAGTACTGCCGACAAATTGACTAAAAATGCATCAGAAGCTCCAACGATGTGCCCGAGATTAGTCAATATGAAGGGACCAATTCTCCTCCATGACAACGCTCGCCCACATGTTGCTCAACTGACCCTGCAGAAGCTGAACGAATTGGGCTACGAGACTCTGCCTCGTCCGCCATATTCACCGGACCTCTCGCCCACCAATTATCACGACAAGTTCCTGCGCGAAAAATGCTTCAAAAGCCGAGATGATGCCGAATCGGCCTTCAATGACTTCATCGCTTCCAGAACTCCAGATTTCTATGCTAATGGGATAAATAAACTTGTTTCTCATTGGCAAAAATGTGTCGATTCTAATGGTTCTTATTTCGATTAATAAAGTTTATTATGAATGAGTTATGATCTTTTGAAGTTGAACGTAAAAAAACGACATTATTTTTGCACCAAGCAATATATATATATTATTTTTTGTATACCATGAGGTTTATCCTGTACAAGGCCCAAGAGCCACTCAAGGTAGAAGGTTACAGATTATGAGACACAGTTCATAGGGATATGTAGGAAAAATAACAGTTGACTCTATACTTTAACAAGGTAAGATTGTAGTAATCAGGGAAGTATCCACTTGGGAGTCAGTTCTACAAACCAGCAAGATATCTATATATAGTATTCTTAAGTGAAAAGACTGGTAGACAATATATATACTGTAAAGAAAAAGAAAAAAAAAAAATCAGCATGTCTATTTCAAACAGTTATCCACTAAAAGTGACACTTGAAGTGTGTGTGTGTGTGTGTATGTATATATATATATATATAAAATACTTACCTGGAAAAGCAGGTAAGCATCTCCTGCACATGGACGTAAAGATTTGGGAGGTATTTTACTGCCAACCTTTAACTCTTCAAAAGAAAGGTCTCCCTTTGGTTCTGGAAAGAAGAAGAAAAAAAAATTAATTTAAAATAAACAAGAAGTCTCCTAACTTTTCATTACTGTGAACAGAATTCCATCCTATTTATCATGTTAATTCTAAAATAATCTTAACGTTTAAGGAAAGAAAAAGTCCAGGCCTACAAAATAAAGTCAGATTCATAAAGAAATAATGTATTACTATTCTGATAACCGAAAATAAAAAGTAACATAGAAACAACAAAAGGTTAATTTAAATATAAGTTACATCAATGAAAATGGTCATATGAGTATTAATAGCATTGTAAGATTGTTATTAGTTAAAGCAGTGACTTCTATTAATATTTTACAAGTATTTCTTTCATGCCAATTCCAGTTGATTTTATAATTTACCCACGGCTATAGAATTAATGTGAAAGAAATACTGGGTAAGTATTAAAATAATAAACTATAAGCAAGTTAGTAAAGCAAGAAGAAAGGTTAAATTATTACAGCGTTTGTAAAAAAAACTCATCAAATTATAAAATGAAAATCTTTTCCAATTTAGTGGTACAGTGAGGGGGGGGGCATTGAATTTTGGAACATGAATACTAGTTTGTGTGTGTGTTTTTTTTTTGTTTTTTTTTTATCTTTTTTAACAATTTATTTTCACCATAATATGTAAAATAAAAGAAGATTTTATGTTCTTTTAAGACTGGGCACATTACATACACACATACATGTGTGTGTGTGTGTGTATATATGTACTACAAAATGGACAAAGTCCAATAATTATTTTATTGCTATACATTATTTATATAGACACAAATATTTAAGTAAATGCTCTGTTTATAATAAACAGTATTAACAACATTTACTGGCCTGAACATTCAAGAAATTTTCATAGAAAATATGTGTCCTCCAACAGGAATCGAATCTCTACCCTACACGGAACTGTCCAATATGCTATATCAGTTTAGCTACAGAGAAGAGTCTGGTTAGAAAGGTCAGTTTAAACTACAATTTTCTGTGATTTCCTCGAACGTTCATATCTGCTCAAAGCTTATGTTAACGTAAACGAATGACGTCACACTCTACAAAATGGACAAAGTCCAACAATTATTCTAATATATTTTATTGTTATACATCATTTATATAGACACAAATATTTAAGTAAATTCTGTTTATGATAAACAGTATTAACAACATTTACTGGCCTGAACAACCAAGAAATTTTCATAGAAATTATGAGGATTGTAGTTTGAAAGCAGTAAAATCGACCTTGCTAATCAGTCATTCTGTACCTAAACTGGTATAGCATGTGAGGCTATATGACAGTTCTGTGTCAGATAAAGATTTGATTCCTATTGGAGGACACATATTTTCTATGAAAATTTCTTGAATGTTCAGGCCGGTAAATGTTATTAATACTGTTTATTATAAATTGAGCATTTACTTAAATATTTGTGTCTATATAAATAACGTATAACAATAAAATACATTAAAACACACACAGTGTGTATATATATATATATATATATATATATATATATATATATATATATATATATATATATTATAATATTAGTGGTTTTATATATATATATATATATATATATATATATATATAATTTCAAGAGGATAGAATCCAGGTAGAACTGAATGTCCAGGACAGAGTAAGAATATAATAAAATGGCTTAAACACTTAATATTCCATGGTAATTTATTACATTGGAATCATAATTACGATCCAATTCATCAGACCTACAAATTCAAAAAGCACACTGTGTGTGTGTGTGTGTGTGTGTATATATATATATATATATATATATATATATATAGATATATATATATATATTGTTTTATTTCATAAGAGTACTTTAAAGGGAATAATAAACTTCTCTTTAGTTCATTAACGCTGACAGTAAAATTCAGTTAAGTACAAACACAGAAGCAATTATAGTTTTCTACTTTATGACCCATTAATGTCCACCAGACTAGAAACGGGACAACGAACATTAACAAAGTAAAGGACACTGTTCACTTAAAATTAACTTTGTTTACAATGCAAAATATTTTAGAGTTATTTTATTTGAAATGCAAGACAAAAAAGATAGTCTGGCACCAAATTTATTGCAAAAATCATGCAGCTACATTAACTGGCTGTTCAGGGTAATGGCTTTTGAAGTTTTAAAAATGGCTGCTTACAATAGCATAAATATCTCGACACACTTGTTGCCTATTTAGATTTGTTCATATCTGGATGAGCAAAAAAAGCCAACATTTGTTGTTACTTCCAGGGGAAGTGCCACTGATATAAGCAACAGTGTCAAATAAAATAAAAAATGTTTTGATAATAGACACAAAAATCATTTTAAAAAAAAATTGCCTTTTGTGTCTGTCAGGAAATAATGTCAGTCTTTTAAATTATGGAGAGTAAGTTTTATCTAGAACTACAGGATAAGGCTATGCTACCAAACCCCATAAAATTGTTCACTGTCAGTTTTTTTTTAATACCATAATGAAAAAAAAAAAAACAAAAAAAATGTCATCAGAGATTCTACTGAAAACACCACCACCAAAATACTATGATAGCCATCTCACTCTCAAACTAAATGAGAACTTACAATGAAGGAAGAAAGTATTAATGTGTGTCCTTTTCTTTTACTTGTTTTTTTCATAATTATTTAATAAAAGCAGTAAATAATTACAGTGACCTTATACTATTCGACCATACTACTTATAACAAATTAACATTACTCTGTCTAAGTCATTAATGTTAAAATACATACCAATTCAACAAGTATAATATATAAGCTTTCATCTCTGTATGGTTTAGTGGGCATATAAAATTAAATCATTTCAGTTTTTAAACAAAGATATTCATGTCCCAAAATGTTGCCATTGGATACAAAGCAAGAATCTCAATACAGTGGAACCTCGGTTCACGAATTCAATTCATTCCTGAAGCCTGTTCGTAATCCGAAACTATTTTTTGCAATAGGAAACAATTTGAAATGGATTAATCCATTCCTGGTCCCAAGACAACTACTTATTTAAACTTTAAAGTACTTTGTACACAAGCATATACACAAAACTAATGAAAATCATTAAATCTAAGAAATAAATAAATAAATAAACCCAATACTAAATTGATAAAATATAGACAAACACTTTAATGTTACCGTAGCTGCATGTAGGAGAGTTGATAGTGGAAGGGAAAGGAAAGAGATGCTATTGTTTGGAAAAGGGGAAGGAAAGACATGATCGTCTCTTTATTTATAAGAATAGTATAGATCGTTGATTTTTGCCATATGAAACTGAGTAGGAAGAGACAATATCATCAAAAATTGTTTTTCTTTCAACTTTTCTTTTTCCTTTACCAGTATCACTGCTAGCTTTCTTTGGAACCATGACTGAGGACTAATAAAGAGAAAAAAAAAGGCAGAGTACAATAAAATTGGAAAAAAAAAAAGCACAGCACAACACACGAACGTATACAACACAGTGATCGAGTTAGAAATGATTCTGTTTGGGTTAACTCGATTTGGTTAGGTTCAGCAATGTTGTTCAAGAACCAAAATTTTGTTTGATAACCGAGTCATTTTCATCTTGAGTATTCTGTTCGAAAACAGATTTGTTTGACATGTGAGATGTTCGAGAACCAAGGTTGCACTGTACATCATTTTTTTTTTGTTATTATTCAAAAAGAAAACAATTTCTCTCGTGGTATTGACACATGAAATAATTTATCCAAATTTTTATGACTATCAACTCAGCAACTGATTGACATCAAAATGTTTTTTCTGCTAAATCGACATTTACATGGGTTATGAAACACTAGACATTCTACAGAATGAATTTTATTTTTGTCAGACAAAATAGATAATTTTTTAAACATACAAATAAGCTCAACAGACCAATGGCATTTATAAATACCAATTATTTAAAAAAAAAAAAAAAAAAAAGTTCCATGGAGTTGGGATTACTAAAACCCAACATTACTTACTGATGATAACTACTGATGAGTTGGTGAAGTAACTAGTCTTCTCAATATTATTAAAAGTACTAAAATATAAGTACTAATAAAATACTAATAAGTACTAATAAATTTAATATTTACGGGAAAGTTGCCAGTTGCTCAATACTTTTGCAAATCCCATCATAATTTTTTTGTTTTTTGGGTCCCCATCCCCCATCTTCATTTGTTTTTTTTTGTTTTTTTCCACATTTTCATTTATTTTTTGGGAGGGATTTTTTTCAATCTTCTCTTGAATCCCCCCCCCCACGCCCCATCTTTTTATTTTATTTATTTTTTTTTTTTTTCATCAGCAGCACAAAAATCCACTTCATAGCCACACATAGTCATGTAGCATATTGCTTGTTCAAAGTCAGTGAATGTTTCCAGATCAGATTGCTAAAATATTTAGTAACCAGTGACTTTCCACTAATCTTTACTACAATATAAGGAATAAAACTACCAAGATGATTTCTTTAGACTAATTAACGTGTGAACTTATTCTATGAAATACAAATTAATCGGTGCTGAAAAGGGTATTATTACCTTCCTCTTTTATTTTGGCTGGAAGAGAAAGAAAACGACAACATTTTTATTACTTGAAAATCGACTTTTCCTTTCTTTAAACCCGTCACCCAATTTAAAAAGAAAAAGAAAGGCATGCAAATAAACAAATAAAACAAATGCAAATATATTTTTTTTAAAAACGTTTAAAACTGTTTTGTACCCAAATAAATGCAGAATGATATGTCAAATACTGGGTGTGGCTATTTCAAAATTGTTCACTTAGATTGTTTTTGTAACTTTTTTTCTTATTAAACAGTTTTATTTGCAGCAAATAAAATACGTCATTGCAGAAGAGAAATTATTTTGGAAATACGGCATCAAAGTCTCGAAAATATCAAACATAAGATTATACATACGTCAAGTTTAGTAAAATTAGTTTTTGAAACAAGGGAAATAACTGTTCAACGGTATAATTCAATACTCAGCTGTGTTAGCGAACCTTTGTTGCATCATTATGAAAGTTATGTTCAATACAGGTCGAAAGTAATCTCTTGATTTTATTCAAATATGATTTTTAGTCATTATGCCTTTTAGTTCGTATAGATTGACACGGAAAAATTTGATAAAATTATTCCATTTTATAATTTATCGAATTATTCCAGATTTATCTCCCTTGGATCATTTTTTTCTCCACGCTTAATTTTCCAAATTCTAAAATGTCTAAGTTACTTTAATAATGAGAAACCAATAAATTATTATATTACGGCTTAATTTCTATAACTATTTACTGATGAGGGTGAAAAAGGTGTAAAGCAACAGTTTTCAATGCAAGACAAAAAGAATAAAAGAGGAAAAAGAAATAAATAGAAACAAGTCAAATTTAAGCTACATGCAAAACTTGTACACTGTCCTGTTAACAATTCTTATTCTACACTTTAGATGTCATTTGAAAACTCAACACTGCTTATTCCAACTTTGTGTGCATATATATATATATATATATATATATATATATACACACACACACACACAGGGTGTCTCTAAGTCTGGTCACACAAAATCTCATTAACTATATATTTTTTTTTTTTTTTTTTTACCTCCACAGATTAAACATGTTTTGTTGAAAGAAAGAAATTGATTTCTTTTTCTGGGATACGCTAAATGAAAAGGTGTACTCAATGAAAATCACAGATGCAACACACTTGATTGAACACAAAGAGTGAACATGCTATAAATGACGGCAATGTGGAGTTATTGTATCGAGTTCACGTGAATCTTTCAAAGCAGATCAACCTTTGCACAAATGTTGGAAATCATATTAAAAGATATTATTTATTAATATTACAATTCAATAAAACGTCAAAAATTTTATTTCTTGAAAATATTCGTTTTTGCCTATGTGTCTAGACTTTAGTGACACTGTCTCTCTCTCTATATATATATATATATATATATATATATATATATATATATATATATATAAAAAGAAATATAGTTTTAAGGTATGCTACATCTATGGGATTTTAAAGTGCTCAATATCAGAGATAGAGCACAGGTAAATATAAAAGTCAACATTGAAGTCAACACTCAGAAGCAACAAACTGTGTCATGCTAATCATAATCATCAGGCTTGGCTTTTGGATTTGAAGGCCTTTTTTACAACCTTAACAAAATAAATATAACCTCAGGATGTTTTAAGTGTTCATGCCTTTTATAATAATAATAATTATTGCTCTGTCTCTGACAGAGCTCTCCCTAGATTTATATCCCTTTGGAAATATCCATACTGACCACTTATATTATTATATATATATATATATATATATATATGTGTGTGTGTGTAAGCAAATGTAAATGGATATAGATCCGACAGAATGAAGAAAAATTTGGAAAAAACAAAAAAAAAAAAATCCTTAAATGCAATTATGTTGTTTAAAATGAATGAAATGTCGACGTCTGACGTTTCGGTTTAATAAACCTTCTTCAGGACAATATTCATTAAAATACAATTCAATTCAATTTGACAAAGACGATGGACATAAAAACAAGTCTTATCCAAAACAGATAACTGAAAATTTTTAAAATGATCAGCTTTCCATGACCATGCTAAACAGAAAGCTGATCATTTTAAAAATTTTCATTTTTGTTTATTTTTTTCCAAATTTTTCTTCATATATATATATATATATATATATATATATATATACATACACACACAAGTTTCATTAAAAACAACTGACAATGTACTGCAGTTAAGTTTCTTATTTAATTTTTCCTGTGTTCTTATAATTTTCTTCTTTTCTGGGCATAAATTATGTAGAAATTGTCTGAATGTTCTGTATGTATCTATACTTTTAGCTATTATCTAGGATGATTTTATTTTATTTAAATGAGTCCTAATTGATGTATGGTCAGAGAGATATAATGCATTACAAAAGAGTTACTAAAAAGAGGGATTGTTATCCAAATACAGTTTTGTAGTGGGTATGTGCATGTTCTAATATAACAGTACATAATAAATATTTATTGCTCTACTTTTGTATTGAGCCTTGTTTTAAATTAATGTTTTGAAATTTTACTCTTTGTTCTTTTATATTTGTGTCTGTGTGTGTATTCATAGAAAATGTATTTAAATATAAATGACCATCAAAAAATAATTCATTTTAAATAAAGACATTCTTACCTCTATTAAATTTAACTATCTTCTTTTGGTGGTTGTGTGTGAATAAATTACAATATTTCCTTTCTAGTAGTACCAGAAAACTATATAATTCTAATTTTTGTAGAAAAAAAGAATTAAGATTCTTCTTCTATATGATGGTGATCATGGCTCTCCACAATTTCCTGTCCTTTGTAGCTCTTAATAAATTTTATCTTTTTGCCATTTCTCCTAAACCATATTCTGCCATCCATTTACTCAAACCCATCTGTTTTCCTCTGTCTGTATTCCACTCAATCTGTGAGTATCAGATTTTCTAGACCTTCATTCTTCATGACCGTACTACAGGGTCATATTATCCCTGTTTTTAGCTTCAGAAACACAGGGGTCTTACTATACTCAAGTTGTACTGTAGACAAAAAAATATGGTAACATAGTTAAGACATGACTGATTGAAAATGTAGGTGAATAAGCACTTAAGAAAATCACTCTCCCATAATTACTTGTTCTACCTATCAGCCTTTAACTGAAACAGTTATAATATTTACACATGCAACAAAAAAAAAAAAAAAAAAAATTTTCAATAATGATGTGTAGTTCCACCATCCATTTACTCAAGCTTGCTAAGTATGTTATGTCATTTTTCTCTGTCCCTCTTGCCTTCAATATGTCCTGTGAGCATCAAATTTTCCAAGCCCACTCTGCTCCTTATACGCCCTAGAAATTTCAACTGTCTCCTCCTGATGTTAAGTATAAGTGTCCTTTTTGTTTCCATTTTCTCTAAAACCTCATCATTGCTCACATGTTCAGTCCATAGTATTCTCAGCATCCTTCTGTAGATCCACATTTCTGTCGCTTCAAGTCTCTTCTTTATCTGTGAGGAGTCTGTCCAGCATTCACTGCTATATAGGAGGACTGATATTACATAACAGTTCAGTACTCTTTTTCTTTGTTTCTAATATTTCTTTTTCTTTATACTTTACCCAGCTTTTGGAAGGCATCTTACAGAACAGTTCAGTAAGTTACTTACATCCAACTTAGCAACCATTCATGAATGAAATAACTATTGTTTGAGAAATTGTGTTCTTGAAGTCATGTAAAATATTTAAAAAAAAATACATTTAGCCACATAACACTTAAAAATAAAATCTAAAATTTTCTTTTCTCACTCACAACCCCGGATGACAACTCATATGAGTTGAAAGCTTGGACGACATGAATTTTGGCCAATATATCCACACATTTGCAAAACAAAAAAAAAAAATAAAAAACACCATTAAATTTAATAGACATAAAATATTGATTGTTTTTATAAGACTACACAATCCTTTCCTTAGCTGCATAGTATATGCTTCACCAGAGGTACATATGATTTTCACTTCAAAGTTGTTCTCCTAAACTGGTTGCCAACCAAGGCTAAAGAACCCAGATTGCCTTAATATTTACCTATAGTTGGGAGATTTAAATTTCAGAGTTGTCCTTCTAAACTAATTGCCACCCATGGCTGTAGGACCCAGTCTGTCCTGCTAGTTACCCATTGCTGGGGGTGGGGCATACGGATTCATACCTTTCCCAAGGGTATTTGTACATAAGTGAATGTAATAAAGTCAACTGGAATTTGAACTTAGCTTTCCAATTCCTCAATCGATTACTCCACCGGGCCTTCCTAAACTATACATTATTCAATTTCTGAAAATTTCTACTAAATCGTCATTCATTCATTTTATTCAGATCATGCATTTTTCGCACCGCCATGGTCACCACTCCCCTGCATCTTACAATTGTGGTTCATGACAGTATTCAAGGCAAAATAGGATAATGGCCTACGAGTTCCTTTTGCCCCAGGGATATGAAGGTTACCCAGTCCCTCCCCACTCAGAGGTGGATTTGTTTTAGAAGTTACCTTTTTCTAGCCTTTGCCTAAATAGGCAGGACCTACTAGGCAACAGGTGGTTTGAATTCAGAGATTCTTTCTCCTAGACTGGTTGCTATTTTATCCAAGGAGCGAAAATTAAAACTTATTCATTTAGCTTCTTTTGTACCGCTGTGATCACCACACCACACCATTTTGGAATTGTAGATTATGGTGACATTCAAGTCAGAATAGTGCAATGGCTTGCCGGTTTCTTTTTCACCGGGGATGCTGAGGTTATCGCGTCCCTCCTCTCAGACCTGGATTTATTTTTTAAGTTACCTTCTTCTAACTTTTGCCTAAAGAGGCAGGACCTACAAGCCAACAGGTGCTTTGAATTCAAAGTTTTCTTCTCCTAGACTGGTTGCCACCCAGTCTGTTTTGCTATTTAATCCTTAGCTGGGAGGACAAGAAAAGATTTATACTTTTCCAAAGTGTATTAGCATGTAAGTGGGTGTAATGAACTCAACTGGAATTTGACCTCAGCTCTTCGGTTCCACATTCCAAACTACTACTGTGCCTATAAATTATCACTTTTGAGAAAAGCCTAAAATGAAACATAATTACTTAGGAAATAACTTTATTGCTCTTTTCTTATTTTTATCTGTTTTTTTTTTGTTTTTTTTTCATTTAATCTAAAGTCACTCTAATAAGACAACAAGAGTGTAGCAGACACAATGCAAAATCTGCCATAGAGTTAATCTTAAAAACAAAATTAGTAAGTGTCTACCTTGAAATGCAATGTTATCTTCAATGATTACTCTTTCAAACACCACATTGACTAATTGCTTGATGGTAGCCGCAGCTGTGTTGATGGTCGTGCTGTCTTTCGTAAAATGAAGTCGGAAACACAACACCAGTGCCTGCAGAGAGATTTAAAATCATTTAATTGTTACTGAAAAATTATCGTAAACAATAATAGACAATCTACATCAAACGTTACATCGTTCTTCTCAGGGTTAAATTTACAATTTGATAACTTACATTAAACATTTGCTTGAAACATCAGATTGTTATGAAAATACAGCGGTAGAAATACCTCCCCATATTTTTGTCAACATTTAAAATGTGGGAATTATTTCTGCCGCAACTTGTATATGGCAACCTAAATCTTGCATGCAACTTATGTCTCTTCTATAGTATACATTTTATAGTAACTTATCTGAGTCCAGCATTAACATGATGGTACAAAATGACATTGTTAATAGAATGTTTAGAAGGAAAATTGAAAGATCTCATAGATAAAATCATAACAGTAAGCAAGAAGATGTGATGTGAGATGCCGACAGAAGGAGTAGAGCAAGAGGAGAGATGGGGGTAAGACTTTGTGAGATGGGGACAGGGGGTAGGCGAGAAAGAGGAGATGGAAGTAGGCGAGAGGAGAGGAGATGGGGGGAAGACAGAAGAGGAGATGCGGGAAGTAGATGGGCAGAAGGAGAGATGGGGGGAAGTAGAGGCAGAAGAGAGAGGGATGATGGGGTAGAGCGAGGGAAGAGGGAGAAGTGGAGCGAGAAGAGGAGATGGGAGAGCGAGAAGGAGATGGGGGGTAGGAGAGAAGAGGAGATGGGGGAAGTAGAGGCGAGAAGAGGAGATGGGGAAGTAGAGCGAGAAGAGGGGAAGATAGAGCGAGAAGAGGAGATGGGGGGGGGGGAGAGGAGAAGAGGGAGGGGGAGAGGGGGGGGAGAGTAGAGCTGAGAGGGGGGAGGAGCTAGAAGAGGGAGATGGGGGAGTAGAGCTGAAGGGAGATGGGGAGTAGAGAGAAGAGGAGATGGGGATGGGGAGGAGATGGGGAGTAGAGCTAGAAGAGAGATGGGGGTGTAGAGGCTATAAGAGGAGATTGGGGGGAGAGCGAGAAGAGGAGATGGGGAGTGAGAAGAGGAGATGGGGGAATGGAGGGAAGAGGAGATGGATGGGGGAAGAGGGGAGATGGGGAGATGAAGCGAGAAGAGGAGATGGGGGGAGTAGAGCGAGAAGAGGAGATGGGGGGAGTAGAGCGAGAAGAGGAGATGGGGGGGTAGAGCTAGAAGAGGATGGGGATGAGAGCTAGAAGAGGAGATGGGGGGGGGGAGGAGATGGGTAGAGCGAGAAGAGGGAGATTGGGGGGGAGTAGAGGAGAAGAGGGATGGGGGAGAGACAGAAGAGGAGATGGGGAGTAGGCGAGAAGAGGAGATGGGGAGTAGAGCGAAAGAGGAGATGGGGGAAGTAGAGCGAGAAGAGGAGATGGGGGGGAAGTAGAGGAGATGGGGGGAGTAGAGGAAGAGGAGATGGGGAGAGAGCGAGAAGAGGAGAGTAGAGCGAAGAAGATGGGGGAGTGGGGTGGAGAGGGAGAAGAGGAGATGGGAGATGGGGGGGAAGAGGAGATGGGGTGTAGAGCGAGAAGAGGAGATTGGGGGGGAGAAGAGGAGATGGGGGAGTAGAGCGAGAAGAGGAGATGGGGGGAGAGAGCGAGAGAAGAGGAGATGGGGGGGAGTAGAGCGAGAAGAGGAGATGGGGGTAAAACTTTGTGAAAGGGAGAGAAGTAGATGGTAAGGGTTTGTGAGACCGGGAGGACAGAGAGGTAAGATTGGGGTAAGAGTTTGTGAGGGAGAAAAGAGATGATGATTGGGGTAAGAGTTTGCGAGATGGGAAGAGAGGGAGGAGAGAGATGGAGAGGGGGAGTAGGAGAAGAGGGGATAGGGTGGAGAATGAGGAGAGGGGATAAGAGTTTGTGAGATGGCGAGAGATAAAGAGATGGAGTAAGAGTTTGTGAGATTGGGGAAAGAGAGAGAGGAGGGATTAAGTGTTTGTGAGATAGAGAAAAGATAAAGGGAAAGAGATGGGGGGGTAAGAGTTGTTGAATAATCAGTGTTACCAGAATTGGACTCCGGAACTAAAGTTAACAAAGTATGTGTAATACTCTAATAAGGTGGCCAACTTACTAATTAAAATCAACACTTCCAGGTTAATAAGAGAAAAAAAAGCTCATGTCCATTTAGGGAGAGAACAGTTGAATAGACAACAAGTGGAAGATGGGGACACCTCTAAATAAATTGGTGTTACTTTCACCAAAGATATTTCAAGAATGGTGTGGTATGACTGTCTATGGCAGGTCCTGAGGAATTTCAGCATAGAGGAAGGCCTCATCCAAACCACTGATGCACTGTACAAGAGCTCCAGCATTGCACTCCTCTTTAACAGTCAGGTGGGTGACTATATCAAGACCACAGTTGGTGTCCATCAGGGCTGTTTGCTTTCCCAAACATTGATCACCCTCTTTCTTGAGAACATCACGCAAGAAACCCTTCAAGACCTTCAGTTCATTTTATCTATAGGAGGGTACATCATTAACAGCTTATGCTTTGCTGATGACATTGACTTGTCGAACGACAGCAACTCAGAATTGCAGGGTCTCACTAACAGAATGACAGCAGAAGTTTATGGAATAGAAGTGAGTACTGAGAAGAATAAAATCCTGGTCAACAGCACAACCAAGATCAAGGCCCAGATCTTCATGAATGGAGAACAACTGGAAGAAGTGGACGCTTTTAAATACCTTGGCGTTATTCTCACCAAAAATGGACGCTCTACAACAGAGATCGAGACCAGACTGGCCATGGCAACATCAGCAATGGCAAAACTGCCATATATATATATATATATATATATATATATATATATATATATATATATATATATAGTGCAGGTAATTGATCCATTGCTATATAATCCAGGTGGATCCTAGTAACATTAATTATTAAAACTGATCCACAGAGCTCAATGTTTTTATTTTTACAGAGCATATGTATTTCTTTACAGCAAAAAAACAAAAATTACCTCAACACAGGTATAGTCTATTTCAAGTCTTTCTTCACATGGCTATCATCAGTCTCAAAGTCACTTAGAGACTGATGAGAGACTATACCTATGTTGAAGTAATTTTTGTTATTTTGCTGTTAAAAAATAAATTATATATATATATATATATATATATATATTATACACACGACAAAATTTTTCCACACTCATACTTCCAAAGCCGTGTTTGATACATAATTAGGAAAAAGGCATAGAGAATTTAACACTCACAAAACATACTGAATACAAGAGAAGTAATGAAAAATTAAGTGAATGAATGACAGAACAATCATAATGGTAATATTTAACTATTTCCATAAAAGGAAATATTTGAACTTCAATGACCTTACCTCTCTTGTTAATGACCCGATAAGAGATTTTGCTACACAGAAAGCAACTTAGCAGCAATGCTAACAGTAATATTAAACATTTCCCTACAAGAAAACTTTTGGCATTTATTGACCGATCAACCAGTACTGTTTTCAGTTGAAATTTATAAAATCTTTCTCTTAAAAGAAATTTCCAGGAAAATGGTTTCTCAAGTACAGTTGCCGTTATCACTCTTTCCAGTACTGATGGGATGATTTCCGTCCTAACTTTTTGTTTGAAGTGGTGGGGAATGTTAAAGTGGAACTATAAAAGGTTAAAAGTTACTTAGACAGGTCCCTAATAAGTTCTAGGGTAATCAAATCGGTCTACTTGATTTGCTTCTTGCAATCTCCATCTTATTACTCTTCTGCATTTTTTTTCATCTCATGACTATTTAATAAATCAACATTACACAATTTGTCTTCGTCTTGCATCAATATAAAGAGAACCAGTATTACTATGGCTGGCACTAGCAGTAAAATTTAAGTGTTAGCAAAATAAACTCAAGTCATCAGGAAACAGAAATTTCTAACATACAGTCAGCGATGAAATTATTTGTACACCCATCAATTTTGGTTTATAGTAACCTCGTGACACAGTTTTCGTGCAGTTCTCTGTGACAATATGTGTTTCACGCTCAGGCTCTCTATCGTGTTAAACTGTTTAAACTTCTTTATAACGGACTGTACCATAGATCTAGGGATAGCTAACTGGTTTGAAATAGTGCTGTAACTATTTCCTGACTTGCAGAAGTTAATAATTCTCTGTCTCCAGTCAATGCTAAGTTCCTTTGTCTTCCTCATCGTGTTGCTAACAGAATAATAACAATGGTGACACTATGCACCACATGATGTTCTTTGCTAGAATTATCACAAATATTCTACTGAATAAATAGTCTAGAAGGTTTCACCAATAAAATAATTATGTAAATTACTTACACAAATCAATCAATTTAAAACGATATTTTCTATTGTACGAATAATTTTGTTTTTTCCTATTTTGCATAATTCGCCTATCAAATTTGTTGTATTTAACCAATTAGAGTTTTATATTCCTTTTTCTGTGCTTATTAACATATGAAAAAAAACCTGGCATCATACGAGCATTAGTTTCCAAGAAATGGATAAAAATATTCAAAATTGATGGGTGTACAAATAATTTTGTCGGTGACTATACAGCTCATCTCTACAACATGCATACAAATAGCTGTTTATTTGCTGCCATAGAATCAAGGAAACTGAAATACAGTGTCAGTTTTCTTCTGGATAAGACTGGTTAATTAAAGTGACTATTTTTGCTTTCTTTTTTAGAGAAACAGAATCAAACCTCTTTGAAAGTGTCCTTTTTACCTTAGCAAGGTGATCATGCTGGACCACAGAATTAGTTGTAATTAAAAGCAAGGCTGTCTGTAACAATTTTAATTCTTCTGTTCCTGATTCCATCAACAACCATAACATGTCAATAACACTCTCTGCAGCTACCTGAAAAATATAAAAAAAACAAAATAAAAACAGGGTATTACAATATTAAACTGTTTACTGCCCAAGAGAAAATATCCATTCATTATTATATTTACTACTACTATTTACTACTAACCAAAAAGATTCTTGCTGCTTTTGATTAAAAAAAACAAAAAACAAACGTAACAAGCCAAACAAGACAAAAAACACAAGGCAAAACACAAAAACAAAAAATAACCCCCCAAAAAAAAACCCCCAAAAAAAAAAAAACAAAGAAATTAGAAATAAAATTAAGATGAATGTTAACATCTAGAAATTGGTCACCATCTTGATAAATCAACCACAGTGAGATTTGAACAGCAATGCCATCGTCAAAAAGCAAATGTTCTAACCCTCTGCCATGTTTATATATATATATATATATATATGCTGTGCATGCCTGTGTGGCATTGGACTTATCATTCACAAACATGCCTGTCAGCAATGTGTACAGACTCCCTCTTGACCTTCATTTTGCAAAGCCAAGCCATTATGTGTGTGTGTGTGTGTGTGTATATATATATATATATATATTATATATACGCAGTGCTTATTGGAAAGCGCTCAATATCAGTGATAGAGCTAACATATGCATGTATGTGTGTCTGCATATGTATGAGTGGCGTTCCAACAACAATTTTTCCTCCCACTACCATAAACACAACCATAAATAAATCCAAAATTAATCAGTTTGTCTGACGATCACAAAGGGCATGAAAACCCAGGGTCACAAACTCACATCAATCCAACTATATATATTATATATATATATATATATATATATATATATATATATATATATATATATATATATATATATATACACATGAATTATTCACACAAAACTAATGCAAAGGTTAATGATTTAAATGGCGAGACATCCATCATCGCAAACAATTCAAATAGTACACAAAAACCTCCAGATCCGTTATGAATGAATTGATCCTTGTTTATATAAATTTCTACCGTATTAGTTGTTATTTTTACTACAAGCTTTCGTCTGTTCCTACAGACATCTTCAGGTATATAATAGATGTTGTTCTTGTTTTTTTTCTCTTAGTAATTGATTGCATGTTTATTGTAATATATATATATATATATTATTTTGTCAGTGTTGACAGATAACTGCATTTATGAAACTAGATTTTTAACGAAAATTTCGGACGTGCTAGGAACGATTAAAAAATGGGAAAAAATACCCCAAAAATACTTTGACCTTTCCTCTTAATAATAAACATTTAGACGATAAAATTTTGTTTTCGTCAAGTTTGGCGTCTTTTTCATCATGCTATGCTCTTTTTTTAGCGATCTCGTGAAGGTACCTATGTTTACAGGAGGTCATTTACAAAGCCTAATGGGCAGACGGGCAGTCAGCCGTGTATGCATGAAGTCTCTCTCCACTTTCTATTGGTGTGCTAGTGTTTGGGTTCTTATAGCCTATATAAGGGAAACGGGCAGACACAGTTGAAAGCATCTGTGGCAAACAAGATTTGCCCGATATATTTATGTTTCTTTTAAAATTTGTTTTCAGTAGAGTGTGGCATGTGTGTGACTTAGCTTGACAAAAATTTTTAATAATTGTGTAAATTTGGCCTTAATTTGTTATCGCTGTATAATTTGTGTTTTTCTGATAGAGACTGCCTTCCTGAACTGTCAAATTCCATCTACCAGAAACAGCTGGTTATGAGGTGCCAGCTGTCTGCCTTTGTCCATTCTTTGGCTTGGAACTGGACTTAGTTGTCAGAGGCTATTATCTGAGCATCATGACATAGAAGAATTTTATAGATAGTGGGAGCTTGCTATGACAACCTTTGGAACACATATGATGTACGTATGTAAACACTATATACATTATGCATTTTAAAAACTCTTTAAAAAAAAAAAAAAAAAAAAAAAAAAAAACTAACATTTTTTTTTAATATATAAAATTTTACAAAAATAAAATAATTGTGAAACGTATTTTTCTGTACATTGAAACTTTATTTTATGTTTACTGAGACTATTTCAAGAAAGAAAATATTCAAATCAAGCTTTTTTTCTTTCTTTTTCACAGATATAAGGCATCTAAAGAGAAAGAAACAAAGTAATCCAATTTCTCATCATAAATTATTCTCTGAAAAATCTCAAACTCGAGTTAACGGAATGAGTTTCCGTCCATGAAACAAACCTGCTGTTAAAGTTAAAATTTTAAAAGAATTTTAATTAAGTTCAGTGGTCATTTGAAAAAGAAATAACTTTTAATTCTTTACCTAAACATTTTCTAAAAAATTCAAATGGACAATATTTCTGCTACAAAAATCTAACCATGCATTGAGCTGACAGAGAAGGGCATTTTGAAAACATCAATGTCATATAATGTTGCAAAATCTTGTCATTTGTCCAGTGATGTCAACAAGTATTTTCCAACATCTGGGCACAAGAAAACAACTGGACAACCACAATAAATACAGGATCTTTGGATGAAAGGCAGATCAATAGTAAAATTAGATTCTGTGTGAAAAATCAATATCATTTAAATTCTTTTACATTAAAGTCACAGGCTCTTTTAAAAAAAATTTTTAAAAAACCTGAAAAAGCCAATCATCCAATCAAATTGCAAAAACAGTGACCAATATGATGGAATTTATGACGCAAATATTTAACAACAATGATACCATGAAACAACTGAAACAATGACAAAGAAACAAAAATAAAAAACTTTTTCTTTTTTTTTTTTTTTACTAAGGCTGCAGGTTTTGCATTTGTAAAATGTTTTGTCTCTACACATATGAGACAATACGCATGTGTATGTAAATATATTCTATTTCATGTATAATATTTTTCACAGAATTCAGATAACACTATGCATTGTCCAAGGCGTGACACACTCACACATAAGAGGGGCAAATGTGAGAAGCTGCTACACATAGACTTGTCAAAACCGACTGGGCGCTACGTGCCACTCAGGGAAGGCGAGGGACAAAACCGACTGGGCGCTACGTGCCACTCAGGGAAGGCGAGGGACGAAACCGACCGGGCGCTACAATGATTGATTTTTATTTTTTTTTACATGAGTAAATGATAACCGTTTCAGGTAATGGTTGTTGTGTGCAACAAGTAATTATGGGAGAGTGATTTTCTTAATTGCTTATTTATTTTCATTTTACACCAGCAAGGCATGCTATTGACATTTTGTTAAAATATCTTGAAATATAACCAATTACAAGAGATAGTGCATTCACACCTTTCTTAACTACATTACAATATTTTCTTGTGTATAGTACAAAATCCAGTATAGTCCATCCTCCATGTTTTTGATGCCAAAAACAGGGAATAAATTAAATCTTTGAGAATAATACAACCCCCTAATACAGCCAGGATGAAAGAGGGCTTGGAAAATCTGATACTCACAGATTGAGGAAAAAGAGAGAGAGAGGATAAACAGATGGGTTTGAGTAAATGGATGGCAGAACAAGGTTTAGGAGAAATAGCAAAAAGATAAAATTTATTAAGAGTTACAAAGGACAGGATCATGTGGAGGGCCATGATCACCAAATTCCTGAAATGACACAGCACATAAAAGAATCTTAATTCTTTCTTTTTTTCCTCAAAAATTAGAATTATATTATCTTCTGGTAATACTAGAAAAGAACTCTCTAATATTACTGTAATTTATTCACACAACCACATGAAGATCATTAAATATAATAGACATAAAATTGTCTTTATTTAAAAATGAATTATTTTTTTTAAAATGGGTATACTTATACTATTTACATTATTCAGACTATTGTCCTCATCTTTGTCACCATGTTTCTCACAACGTTTCAGCCATTGTACGCTCCGGCCTTCTTCAGGTGGTTGGAATGTCAAACTGAACCCTTTATTTCACTCACTGGGGTAGACTGTTCTAGTTCCACATCTAATGGATGTCAGTTATCTCCTGTTAATTCCCCTCTCAAAGTTCTCCACCACCTTAACCTTTATCCACTGTGCCATGTGTCCTTGAGGATACATGGCACAGTGGATAAAGGCATTAATCCAGTGACAGGATCCAAAGAGTGTGAGTTCGATACCTGGTTAAATAGTGTACATAATACCTTATCTATTTAAATATATTTTTCTATGAATACACATATATCTAAACTGTGTTTGGTAGGTAATGTAACCTTTGCTGCTTCAGAAAATGGGCTCAGCGATCCAGAGTTCAAATTCTGGCTGCCTTTTTTGCTCACTTTACATTAATGTCTTTGGGAATGATACTGGTACAAATTTGTCTCTCCCTACCCAGATCAGGATGAAATAACAAGGCAGACCGAGATTTCTAGCATTAAACGACATGAAAAATCTGAACTCTGATTATGCTGATATTTAGTATGAAGGGTGGCCTTCCTTCTATCATCAAAGTTTTGCATGGTCGTTCACTGCAGCTGTTCATCTGCCAGCTGATCTTACCATAATGCTGGATTCTGAGAGGGTGTGTCTTAACCAGTGCAAACTGACTCACCAAAAATCCACACAGGATTTTTGGAAAGAACCATCTTCAGCTCTTATATATAGAAAGAGACCAGAATAAGTTCTTGGACTGATAAAGCTACAAGAGACAAAAGTTGTGGAGAGCCATGATTACCTACATCCCAACACAGTACATCCATTTCTTGAAACGTACCATATCATCCATTAATATTTCAATGTCATACATCCACTGCACTAAAATATTTAATTTTTCACGATATTAAACAATAAAAGTGAATTTAATATTTAGCCATTGCATGTTACTTCTACTAATTTTCATTTCAAAACTTACTTTCGAATTTTTGGGAAAGGGTTCTGACTAGACATACCAGGTAATAGATTTTAAGGTATTAATTAATCCATCTTACTTTTCTGTTTGATAGAACTTTATTAGATTACTATATAGCAAGAATAGAGAGATAAACAAATATTACCAACATATCAAATATCATTTGTAAACAATTGTTATCAACACCTGTCTACTTTTT